TTCAGAGGTGTGATATAATCAATCTGCCAGGCCTCCCCATATTTACACTTCAGCCACCGTCCTCCATACCACAGAGGCTTTGACCGCTCAGCTTTCTTGATTGCAGAGCATGTTTCACATTCATAAATAACCTGTACAATGGTGTCCATGGTCAAGTCCACCCCTCTGTATGTTGCATCTCTTCCTTGATGGTCTGAGGTGTTATGGGCCCACCAAGCTGTAAATAATTCCCCCTTATGTTGCCAGTCCAGACCCACCTGAGCCACTTCAACCTGAGCAGCCTGGTCCACCTGAGGGTTGTTTTGATGTTCTTCAGTGGCCGGACTCTTGGGTACATGAGCACCCACGTGACGTACTTTTTTACAACCAAGTTCTCCACCCGGGCAGCAATATCTTGCCACAATGCGGCAGCCCAGATGGGTTTGCCTCTGCGCTGCCAGTTACTCCGCTTCCATTGCTGCAACCACCCCCCCCAGGGCATTTGCCAGTAAATTGATATCGTCCAGTACATCGATATAAGTTTTTATACATATGTATGCATGTGCACACACCTATTTTTAAAGAAGATATTGTTCTCTGGCACAAATGAAAAGAAGGGAGACCTGCAGTGAAGTGAATGCTTGGTCTTTTGATGCTTAACCCCTGCTCCCATGCAAAGAAATGGGCTACAATAACCCTCACATGGAAGGTTGCTGAGGCCTATAATTTTATATCTGGAGAGGAAGCATATGTGCAAAAAGAATACCCGGTGTTAAATAACTGAGGGTGGTTGGAGTCTATCCTGAAAGATGGTGTTTGACGTAGCCACGGCAAGATGTTTTGAAGAGGAAAGAGCATCAATATACAGCTCACTGCAGCAGTAAGAAGTTGTGAAGTATTCCTGTAGGCTTTCAGGATACCCCCATTTTAAACGCAGCGGTCTTTTCAGCAGATGAAATTCAAACCATCTTTGAAGGAGTCTGAGGGCTGCAAGGGCAGTGTTCAGAGGTTACCAGCTGCCTTTCATTTTATAATACTGCATTTCATCTGCCGTTCCATCTCCCAACCACTTAGTATTCTAAGGCACTTCAGCATTTCATTGTGGTTACCTTTCAACGTTTACTGCTCTGTGTAATGTTCAAACCTGGTCTTAACCCCTGCCTACTTCCTAGGTCATTGGGGAAAATTCTGAAGAGCCCAGTGTTAATGTGGATCCCTACGAGATGCCCCCAGTGGCCTCACTCCCCTGAAGATGCCAAATATCTCCTCCAAATGCTTCCTCTCTCCCACAAGATGACAACCATCCTGTTTAATGCTTGGCAGTCTCACTTTTTAAAGAGGTCTGAGTGAGGGACCTTGTCAAAATCTTTTGGAAATTCAAAGAGCAGATGCAGCAAGAAATAGTCAAAGACATGCGGAAAACTCGTCTTTTGAGGGTTACCTGTTTTCAGAGTACTTAGAAGAGATGCATGAAGTCTGTCTCCCTTCCGCAGACATCCCGGTGCCTCCCTCATGCCCCACATGCTTCCTCTGCCTGTTAGTCCTCCTCGTTACTATAACCCTTATTGCTGCACAGACTGGTCTCTGGTTTCCTTGAGGTGAAGCAGCTGCCCACAAAAACGGCACCACATTTACCTCCTGTGCTTGGCTGGGCAGCAGGGAGCACGGGCTGCCCGTGTGCCCCAGGAAGGGCAGCGCCGTCCCAGGGCAGGTTAAGCACAAGCCTTTCCCTCCAGCACAGCACGTACGGGGGCCAGCACACGCTGCAGCGGGGAGAGGGCCCAGGGCCCTCCTGGTCCTGAGGAGCAGGAGCTGGAGGGAAAGCTGACAACACCGGCCGTGAGTTTCCTAACCTTTTGTTTGGTTCTGTCTCACCCAGCCATCACTGGGGTTGTTTCTCCATTTATGGTTAGTCTATTTTTAAATAAAGGCTTTATGTGAAGAACTAACCGGCTTTTGTTGCCTGCTGCTGAAGACAGGCAAAGACGCTTGCTTCTGAGGTGCAATTGCGCTTTTTAAAAACAAATGCCTCTGATTTAGAAGACCTTTGAGCAGAACTGAGATAGATTTTTGGACCTGATACAACACGGATAAAAAGGGACGCTGCACTAATTAACGTCTCAGTGGAGCTGCCCAATGTAACCACCCCCCCTCCCCCAATTTCACTGTTAATCCTGCTGTATTTTAATTATGAAATTGGCCTACTTAATGTTGAAGACAGCTGGCCTTCAGAGTCAAGCAACACTTTGAGAAATTATGTCATGCTTAGTGTTAGTTTCATTCCTAGCACCACAGTCAAGCAGTGCCCCAGGGGGGTGCCCACCCTCCGGCCGTATGCTCGCCATGCAGGTCACTGAGCAAGCACCGAGGACCAAATTGCTCCAAGAGCTGGTCCCAGGCCCTGGCTCTGCTCCCAGGCACACCGCTGGCTCAGTGCAACATCCAAGTTACAGATAATACTACTGCAGTGGAAGAGCTTGCCTGGCAAAGGTGTGGTGTCCTCACCAATGGAGATTTTAAGAACAAGTCGGATGTACTCCATACTGATGCAGCTACATGGCTAAGTGTATGATGCGTGCTGCAATGATTTCACTCCCATGTGCCACACACAGCAGTCGGGCTGTTTCATGCAGGCAGGAATGACAAATTGCTGCTGTTGCCTCTGCGTAGGGTGCATCCCCTGTTTCACAGTTTCTGTAAATGTCAACAGAACAGCTCAATTTTTTCAGACATTCTGGCATCACTAAAACAGCTCAAACATCTCTAAAGCTACAGCACGGGATAACTTGCAGGGAAGGATGGCAAGTAATCTCCTGAAAAATTCTCCGAATTATTATTAATGGCTTTTCACTATTCTTGGAACAACGAGGAAATCCTTGAGAATTAAGAAAAGAGAAAAACCCCACACAACCCCCCCAAACAAGAAGATATTCTCTCTCCTCTCCCAAGAAAAAAAAAAGAAACAAAACTCTAGTGTTGTGCCAGTATTTAAAAAATTACAAGCTCCGTGGTCAGCGTAAACACAGCTTAGCAGTCTGAAACATCCCAGGCAAACCAACAGAACAGCTGACATTAAAGAATATCGTAAGTAAAACCAACCAGCATGGTTTCACAGAGAACAGCTTTCTGCAAACATTATTTTTTTAATTAATTACAAGTTTGGGTTGATAAAAGCAGCTATTTACAGGCATTGTTCTTGGCCCTACGTTACACAAATATTGGTGGAGCACATTAAAAGTTAGTTAGTGAATAACTCTACGTAAGGATTTGTCCTGGAGAACCCCAGAGTCTGCAGCTATTTGGCATCTTTCTCAGGAACGTTAAGGGAATTATAAAACAATTGCAAAGAAAATCTGCAGATTAAAAAAAGTTGACAAGTGAGAGCAATGAAAAGATTGATTAGACAACAGAATTTTCGGGAAGAGTTGCTCAACAAAAACGACAGTTATTGAGGTCTCTGCTAGTGCCATTGTGCGAAATGCAATGTTTTAGAAAGGATGTAAGAGTTCATCAGGTGCTGTCTGGCCTTAAACCCTGTCAACCTGAATTTCTAGAAACAAAGGAAATGGGCCTGAGATGCATTTTCAGAGCAATTGAAAAATGCACTTAAGAGGGTAAATGGCAAACTGAATGTAAACAGTGTAACAAAGCAGTTGATAAGGAAAAAAGAGGGAGCTAAGAGCACAGCAACGTTATCATTGTATTGTACATAAACCAGACTACTACAGAATAACACAGCCAGTTCCCAGTGCATGTCTCGACTTCAAAAGCCAATCAATATATAAAATGTGAACAAAGAACAACAACAACAAAAAAAAAAGAAAAAAAATGTTTTGACTGAGACTATCAAGTCTCTTTAGCTCATTCAGCAAATTATGTACAGAGTTAATTATGACTACGAATATGCAGGAAGCAATTTCTGGTACCATAAAGCCATTTAAGTTAGCAGGACTGAGCAATACAAGATGCAGAGGTTGAAATTAAAAAAAGTTCAAATGAGAAGACACATAATTGTCAGTGTAAATTATCACTGGAACAACTATCAAGTGACTAGTTGGTCTCTTATATCACCTCCCTCACCTCAAAATTGGATCTCTTTCTAAATATTTGCTCAAACAGAATTTATAAGAGCAAGACCAAGTTTGCTGGGGCAATGAGTGATGTCCCTCAGGGATCCGTGCTGGCACCATGCTGTTTAATACCATCATCAGTGGCGTAGACAGGGGGATTGAGTGCAGGTTTGCAGATGACACCAAGCTGTGTGGGAAGGGATGCCACCCAGAGCGACCTTGACAGGCTGGAGGAATGGGTGTATGTGAACCTCATGAAGTTCAACAATGCCAAGTGCAAGGTCCAGCACCTGGGTCAGGGCAAGCCCCAATATCAATAGAGACTGGGGGATGAATAGGTTGAGAGCAGCCCTGCAGAGAAGGACTTGGGGATACTGGTGGTCAAAAAAGTGGATACGAGGCATCAACGTGTGCTGGCAGCCCAGAAAGTCAACCCTATCCTGGGCTGCATCCCCCGCAGCATGGCCAGTGGGGCGAGGGAGGGGATTCTCCCCTTTGACTTCACTCTCGTGAGACCCCGCCTGGAGCCCTGCGTCCAGCTCTGGGGCTCACAGTACAAGATAGACATGGACCTGTTGGAGCGGGTCCAGAGGAGGACACAAAACCAGTCAGAGGACTGGAATGCCTCTCCTATGAAGAAAGGCTGAGAGAGTTGGGGTTGCGCAGCCTGGAGAAGGGAAGGCTCCAGGGAGACCTGACTGGCCTTTCAGTGTATAAAGCAGGCTTACGAGAGAGACAGAGAGACTTCTTGATAGGGCCTGTAGTGACAGGACAAGGAGCAACAGTTTTAAACTGAAAGGGGATAGGTTTAGATTGGATATAAGGAAGAATTTATGATGACGGTGGTGAGACATTGGAGCAGGTTGCTCAGAGAGGTGGTAGATGCCCCACCCCCAAAAACATTCAAGGTCAGATTGGACGGGGCTTTGATCTAGTGAAAGATGTCCCTGCCTCTGGCAAGGGGGGTGGACTAGATGGTCTTTAAAGATCTCTTCCAACCCAAACCATTCTATGATTCTATAGGGTAGAATTTTGACCTGGATTTGCAAAATGTGAAGCTAACTGAACTCTTAACAAAGCATTGAACAGTAGAGACATGGGTGCTTGAACAGTGAATCTTTGCACGGTAGGCTGTAGCACAATTAGCTGGTTTCATATGTTATTTACAGCCCTGGATACACATGAAGTTGTGAATTCCCCCATTAAAATACCTCCCTTGAGGCTGAATTTTTCCTATGCCCTTAGAGCAGTAGAGCATTGCTGCAGTCACACTAGGTAGCCTGCCTCAGTCCATCTACAGAAAGATGCAGGTGCTCTTGAACAGACCACACTCCTCAAAAGCAGTGGCCTGTCCTGGTGCAGCAGTGCCACCGACTCTTACCAGCTTGAGCCAATCGACCTGCTGTAATGCTGATAGAGCATGAATGGCCTCTTGGATAACGATTTTCTTCCACATCCCATGTTATGTGGGGAAATATGTTATTGGTGTAACTCTACAAAATCCAGGTGGTCACGACTTATCCATGTCCAGAAAGCAGGTCTGGTTAGTAACTCAAAAATGACAGCAAATAGGACTCTAGATTGAAATCCACTAAGAAAAACCTTTAATTTATGGGTTTATCATGTTGCCCATCAGGCAACAGGGCAGGAAGGTAGTAAACATGTGTGGTCAAAGTACAGCTGTGTAGAGTGGAGTACGGAGGAGAAATGGTGCAGACAACTGAACAGCACCAGAGCATGCAGGACAACCACGTGGGCAGGCTGGGGTGTGTGGTGCAAATAGGGGTAGTACCAAGAACATTACACACCAGACAAGAAATCACATTCTTGCACTGGTGACATTTTATTTTGTCGTCTTCTGATCTTGCCCCTCTTACTGAAAACCTGATACCCCCTGCACAGAAGTCCACGTGTTTATACTTTCAGCACAGCACTGCACCACAGCAGTGTAACTACTGATGTAAATCACAACAGAGCACTGTGTGCTGCCTCACTACTATACAGGTGTAATCCCCATGAGAGACAGACCAGGCTCAGCTGGGGTTGGCTTTGCTTTGTGGATGGGAGAGGCAGTTCTTGAGAACCCCCCAGCCGTACAGCACTTCCCACTGTCAGGGCCAATGTGGTTATTCGGGTAATAACACATACGTATAAACCCACCTGTTCACCAGGCACGGCAATGGCTTCCCTGTGAATTTCAGCACCAGCAATTTAGTGAAAATTCACAGGGAGGTAACATGGAGCCAGCTGTCTATTTTCTTGCCAGCAAAACTCCAAGGAAAAGGTCAAATTTTGCAAATTCCTGGTACAGTGGGTCTTTGGATAACAGAAATTCTGGAGAACCTGTGCTCAGAAAGACAGAGTAGGATCACCTGTGCTGCTGCTTCTTACTAGCTTCTATGACATCTGCTGCATTTTAGGGACAGGGTTTAGTGGTGGGATGGCAGGGTTAGGTTAAAGGTTGGACTCTATGATCTCAAAGGTCTTTTCCAACCAAAGCGATTCTATGATTCTATGATTTATGGAGCACAGGGAGATATTCCCTATGATCCAGAGTTCATGCTAACACGTGACTTAAAATAATGAACCCTCTTCTTCTAACCTTTTCCACACAGGGAAGTCACTGCTAATACACCTCATTCACGCAGAGGAAGCAGTAATGAAAAGAAACAGGTGATAGAAGACAACGCAGGCAGCATCTACCGTGCAGAAGAAAAGGACACTATGGGAGCGTGGGCAGGACAAAGAGCAACAAACACACTGGCAAGGCAGTTCAGTGGAACATGGGTTCCAGCATTAGCAAGACTGCTACTGTAGGTATATGCGCTGTCTTGCAGTAAGTTTGTTTCCCACATGAGTCTGAAACAAGTGGTCTTCAGAGGTCTCACAAAGGCCATCTTATTACATTGGTTACAGGGGGTCTCTGAAAGGCCAGTGAATCTCCAAAAGGCTGGAGAGTATTTGTTCCTCACTGGACTGGAAGACCCTCTACATACATTCAATGCCCAGTGCTACAGAATACAGATGCTGGGGGAATGGCGGGTTGCTGACAAAGGTAATAATGATGTCCCATCACTTCCACGCAGACCAGAGCTCAGGCACTACTGCTGGTGCTGAGCCTAAACATCAACATATGAAGTAGAGACAGCACCTTGTGCAACAGACTGGAGCACAAGCTAGGAAGGTATTTGCTCTTCCGTGGCAGCCTTGCTGACAACAGGCAGAACCGTTCCAGGGCAGTTACAGCCTTTGTGCTCTGCACAGCACTGCTTAGTTTGTGTGCATACTGTGCAAGAAAGGATTCCCCCCTTAAAGAGACCTAAGCACTGTGCTAGTCAGTCCCTTATAGGGAGAACTACTATAAAAGAACCCTGATCTCACCCATCAGAGGATGACAGAACAGACAGCTGCTGTACTGGAAACCACTAAACAAGCAACTAATGTGACCCAAACTGAGACTGTAATCAGAGCAGGAACTACGCTGGGTACACCGCTAGTGCCACTGTCCAAGGGAACTACACCAGGAGAGGCAGCCTCTGTACCACAGCTTTGGTTTGAAGTCTCTCACAACTGAACAGAGGCAACAGCTTCAAAATCAAGGTCACCAAATAGAATGGAGTCACAGTCCCAAAGACATTCAGTGGCTTATATTAGTGCTGTGGGTTATGAGCCTGACAGAAGTGGGGCTTGTAACTGAAAAGTTTTAGGATTACTCCTTCTCTTCTACTAGGGATTTACTTCCGGCCTCGCTTGCGGCTGGTTTTTGGAAATTCGGTTCTCTGTGCAACCTGGGGCTCCCCCTCCTCACTACTCGCGCTCTCATTGTCCACCCGCTGTGGACGACCTCTTTTACTTCTCCTCATTTTTTCAACTCCAGCAGTGGAGAGCTTCTTGGCAGCCAGGGTCCCAGTTCTCTTCTTTTTGCCCCGTGTCAAAGGACGTTTCTTCTGTTGCTTCCTCTGCTCTTCTCTTTGACGGATTTTCATTAGCTTCTCAAAGCTTTTGGTGGTAGTTGTGTTCACATCAAACCAGTCCTGGAGGGTTTAGAAGGCAAGAGGTTGGTATTCATGGTGGAAATACCATATAAAGCCTATCAGGGCTTATAATAAAGCTGCCTTCCTTGTGGGACAAGGGTTTCCTGAAATGTGAGATCTGGAAAGGCAGCGACCCAACACAGCTCTGACCTTGTGCTATGTTCCTCCTCAGGTGTCACTCTGTCTCAAGAGGATGCAGATTTGATTTGGCCATTGCTGGGCTAAAGGCATGGGAAATGCTGAAGAGCTGAATTGAGCAGTTGCAGCTTGGGACAAGACATGTGACACAACACAACGCTTGCTCCCCTGGCCAACTATGTTTAAGCAAATCAAAGGCCACTTGAGCCTGAGACCCTGTTCCCAGCAGTGAGCAAGGAAAAAAATATAACAGGGTAAGTATCCAGCATTTCCTTCCCAAGACACCCTTCCCACCTCCAACCACCTGGGGTTTGACGACTTCCATTCTGCCTGCCTTACCTCAGCATGCACAGAGTTGATGTGATACTTGACCCCACTCTCTGAAATGAACTCCTTCTCACACAGGAGACACTTGTATTTACCAGCCACAAAGTCTCCCTGGCACCAAAACAAAAAAATCCATCACCAACTGCTGCCTAGAAGGCTGATACACCTATATATTGTATTTGAATCTTGCTCAGATATAACCCAGCAGTAAGAAGTAGAAACTCTTACTCATACCAGACAATGCTTTAGCTACAGGAGCACTGACATTATTGACCAGTTACGCTCACAAAGCATAGCTCTGTGAGATATGACAAGGTCTCCAGCACTGTACGTGGAAAAAATGCTCTTGTAGGCTGTGAATCTGCAGGTAGGACTGCAGTTTCACTACAATGCATGTCATTAAGATGCTTCCTCCTTACCTCAAGCGGTGTTTGAAATGGCAACCCCATTACCACAAAGGGAAGCACTCAAATTGAGAGGAACTCAGATTAACAGATGGCAGGACAGCTTGAATAAGGAGGTATCTGAGGGAAAGGACAGTCAGGCTATTGGTATAAAAGACAGTGGTATAAGAGAAGGGTACCAACCAAGGTACACGTGCCGAGGTGAGATTTGAGTCCTGAGACACTGCCATATACAGATTCACAACCCTGAAACAGTAAAAAAAGTGCGTGTCAGCAAAACTCCAGTAAGAAATCACTTCTTCCTGCACAATAAAGTCCTATTCCAAAAGGGGTAAGAGAGGTAGAGGGAGGAAGATAGAGAGTCTTACAAAGCCAGAAAGCTTCTTGTTAGAAGACCATTAAAAGAGACTTAAGCTTTCAGAAAGTTAAATATTTTGAGTTTCTGAGCACATTGAGACATAATAAAGAGACTCCTGTCACAGTTACGTTCACCCTCTATCAAAAGCCTGAGTAAAATTAGATAAAAGTTTGCATTTTGCCTAAAGTGCAGCACAGATTAATTTCAAACAGAGTACAGGGGCAAGTACAAGACACTTCAATCAATCCTGCCCTGCTTGTACATCTAGTGGCAGAGAGCAGAAGCACGGTCTCAGTTAAAGGGCAGCTTTACAGGCCTGCCCCACATGGAGCTTCAGGCATCAGTCTCGGGATACCAGATCATGCTCAGCTGGCAGCCCAGACCCTGAAACAGGAGGTAGGCACAAGGCATGCTTCTGGGCTACCGGTTGGTGAAATAGGGCAGCTGCTTTCTGGGGACAGCTCGATATACAAGATTATGCTGCAATTCTTACACTTGGATATGATGCACGCCTGAAAATTGGGAAGAGTGCTGGGGGAGGGGTAGGGCAGAAGGAAGGCGTTGTCTCTACACCAAACCCAGATGGAAGCCACCACTGCCCCTTGGCTATCCAGCAGCGTGCATCACGTGTGTCACATCTACCATAGTTCCCACCAATGTGGCCATTTCTTCTCACTGGATCTGACTGGTGACTGCTGCGTGGGATTGTAAGAAACTAAGTGCACGTGCGTAAGCATCCCTAGACCAGGATGACAGTACCATGCATGAGTCTTCTGTAGCCCATTTCCAGCTTTCAGAAGAAAACTTGAGTGCTGTGCCAAAGTCCCTCTGCTCTTACATTTCCATCTCTACTCCTCCCTTCTTCTATAACTAGATTTAGTACAACTGCTAGACAGGCAGGGGCCTGTCCTTTCTCTACTGCTCAAACCGCCAAACGGACCAGCTCCCAGCGGGATGTGAAAGCTGTACCAGCCTGACACCAAGTTACTGGCTCTGAAGTGGACAAACATGCCCCCAGAGGGGTCATCCCTAGGGCAACAGTCCAAACAGGGTCTTGGTTAAACTAACCAACCATACTGAGATGGAGCAGAATTCGTCTACCACAGAGAGACAAACTGCAGTTTCAAGGCTGTGGAAAGCTGTTGGCTCGTGCAGACCCGAAATTTGACCCCTTTCAGGCTTCAGAAACACTTAAGGATTACCTGATTTGGGCAGTGGACTCTTCGGTACATCTTTATCTCCGTTTTCCATTTGCACAGCACATCCTGACTAAATGTGGGCAGTCCAGGACGAGTATATTTCAGCTGAGATAAAGAGATGAAATTGAAAGCAAGGAAGCAATATTGGCTACACATAGTGCCAAGCATGTCCCTTTCTCTCCCAGACTGAGACACAGGTGCTATTTCTTCTCCTACTCTAACAGCCAAACTCTCAATAACCAATGTTTTCCCATCTCACTGACTCTCTACAAACATAACTGAATATGAACACCCCACCCTCCCCAATACCAGAACCCAAAACTTTCCATAATTTGACTACAACAATTCCTCTAAATCTCCTTAGCCCATTAAAATCATAAATCATCCTTTTCCCTTGGGTTTCCCTTACAGCCTACAAGATGCAGATGACACCAAACTGGGTGGTAGTGTTGATCTGCTGGAAGGTAGGTAGGAGGGCTCTGCAGAGGGACCTGACCAGGCTGGATCCATGGGCCCAGGCCAACTGTATGAGGTTCAACAAGGCCAAGGGCCGGGTCCTGCCCTGGGGTCACAACAACCCCATGCAACGCTACAGGCGTGGGGAAGAGGGGCTGGAAAGCTGCCTGGCAGAAAAAGACCTTGGGGTACTGGTTGACAGCCGGCTGAATATGAGCCAGCAGTGTGCCCAGGTGGCCAAGGCTAATGGCATCCTGGCTCGTATCAGGAATAGGGTGG